CCCGCCCTAAAGTGAAAATCTCTCCAAAAAAAAAAAAAAAAAAGAGAGAGAGAAAAAATAAAAAAAGAAAAGATCTAGTGCACATATGCACATGCACCTGATGTGAGTTTCAAGCCACTGGGTCCAGGATTTGAACTGCAGTTGGCCACATGTCAGTCTAGCACCTTAACCAGTATGTCACTTACTGGTCCCTATTTCTACTTTTAATTGAACTATCTTCTCTCTCATTTTGTTTCCAAAATTCTGTGGTAAGCAAGGAAAGTTGGGGGTTATAGTCTATAATTAACAAGTTATAGCTTTATATCTTCTCTAAGATATTTCTACTTGGAAAATATTCATTCTGTAGCAATTGAGTTTGCCACAAATGTGCCATTAGCTTGCATAGCATAAGTGATGTATTATTTGTCATAATATAATCCAAAGGAGTGTACATTTTTTTTATCTTTCTTGTATTTTATTATTATTATTTATTTATTTATTTTTTGAAGAGGTTTTTGCCATAGGGCGCGCGCACTTGCCAGACAGAGAGAGACAAAATCATCATTTTGTATGATGATTTCAGGTCTTCACACAGCAAACTCATTCCCAACATTCTGGTTGCAGCTCATTTTTTTCATTTCTAAAGATATCATTCTCATGGTAACTGTTTAATTGTCCTTCTAGTTTAAATCACTACCTAAATAGACTTTAATGAATCATTTACATATTTGATGACTAACCTGCCACTAGACTAAATAAGAATTTGATCCTTAACTGTCTTGTTCATTACTTCACATGTAGAGCACATAACTGCACTTAATGCATAACAGGGACTATAACATCCTTTGTTAAATGAATGAATTTTAAGCTATTGTGCCAGGAAGCAGAATATAGGTCTATACAAATATGTTTCTCAATACAGTATTTTTTAAGTTGTCACGCAGACAAGTGTTCTAGGACCTTGCTAAAATGTATTCAGCATATGGGCTCCATATTCATCACCCGGAGTTTGCTGGAAAGGCAGCCTCTCAGATCCCACCCAGTAAATCATAACATACATTTTTTTCAAAGATCCCCAGGTGATTTGCATGTACATAAAGTCTAAGAAACATCGCTCTAAGATTTGTAAATTTGTTGTCTTCTGGTTTGATTAGAACCAGCAGGCATGTTGAAAGAATAGCTGTATAAAACAAATTCAACTGGATTTCATACCTAATATGATTTATTTCTCTGGAGGACTTTCCTTTATACATTTATTCATACACAGTAAACATGTCTGAAAACATCTATTTAACGAAGTTATTGAAGCCATTCTTTGATCCGGTACCATGCTGTGAATGTTGTATGCATAATATCAACTAATTTTTTTTACAGGTATTCATACCTATTTTTTTTACTTTAAAGGAAATTGATATTTAACAAACTTAAGTTTCCTACCTCCTCTTTTAGTATGACTAAAGGAACAGATAGATTTGAATTGAGTTCTAAACAATTCCTCAATCTACTTTTTATTTTTTATTTTTTTTGCCAGAGGGCATATATGTTCTCATTGGAGAGAGAGAGAGACACAGAGAAAGTGAGAAAGCACTCCCCCATGGGAAATGGAAAGGCTGTAATCCCTTCTCGATTTCTCTTTGCTTTCAAGATTTTAGGCACACACAAACAAGCACCTCACATGTTTTCAAGCGACTAGGTCTGACACTTAAACTGTGCAGTTGGCCATGTGGGATCCAGAAACTTTAACCATCATGCCATGGTTTGGCCCCCCAATCCATTTTTTAACTAGCAAGGTGGGAGGGAGAACTCATGATGCCAAAGCAGTTAATAATTGATGAGCCCTCTTGGTACAAAGAAGTCAAGAAACAAGCATTCTCAAATTGGTTCTCAACATAGTAATACATGGTGTCAAGCACATATGGCGCAAATACAGTCTTATTGACAGGACAAGGGTTACATATTTTGGCTCATAGCCATTCAATAAATAGAAACGGATCTGAGAGAATACAAACTCACTTAAATCTTTGACTTTGGGGTCAGTAAATGTTTTAATCAACTCAGCTAATTGGAAC